ATTGAAATAAAATATTACATATTAATTTGCTTACGAATTATTGTAGTTGATGTCTATAATTTTAAGCAAATAAAGCTTAATGTACTTACCTACTTGATATAATTTTAACTGGGTAGGTGTCAAAAAAATAGCATCAAAGTTGAATTTAACAAGAATTGTATACTTATGTTTGTATATTATAATATTTTGTTAATTTCAGATTTCAGATACGTGTGTGTGAATCAAAATTTATTGTTTGTATCATTTGAAAATAAATTGGCTTTGTATCATCGTTGTTTTATTGAAATTAATGCTCATGCAAGAAGCCCAATCAGGTAGGTATAGAATTTTTCAAATTTTAAGAAATAACTCAAAAAAAGTTAATGTTTTTGCGTTAAAAAATGCAAATAGTATGTATATGTAGTCAGAACATTAAAAAAAAAACATTTTTTACTCTCACTTATGTGAAAATACATTTTTCTCCGAATGACAGTAAAAGCGGCCTTTTAATGACACTTGACAGGATCAAAAGTTGTATTTTTACTGCCTAGGCAGTAAAAGTGGACTTTTACTGCCTAGGCATTAAAAGTTACAGTGTCACCACGTTCCAGGTAATAATTTCACTCAATTTGGTATTTGAAATTGATGGTGACAATGACAATTGTCAAAATAATTTGGATAATAATAATGAATGAAATAAATATAAAAAGATGTCCATGTGTGAATTTGAACATTCGGAGAAAAAATTATATGTTTTACATGGCAGAAAAGCAGATTTAATGCCTCGGCTGGTTTCCTAGCCTCGGCTATGAAACACCAGCCGCGGCATTAAATCTTGTACTTTTCTGCCTAGTGAAACAAATAACTATTTTTTTAAATCTTGATAGGCAGGCGAAAGCGAAGAAAATATTTCGTCAATTGTGTTTTTTTTTAATTTTAAAATATATTTTGATCCGACTTGTGGAATAAATAAACAAACCCATTCATAAAAACGTTGAGGGGCTTTGAGGGGCTTTGTTGATGTTGGCCGAAACATTTGGGTGTTTTATGAATGACTATGCGTATCTAGGTGTAGCCTGTATATAATCTAAGTTTAAACCTCAGTTTAAACATTCCTCGCAGTAATATTAGGAGCAATAGGTTATTTTCTATTGAAAATCACCGTATTATGGTTACGATTCTCCTTTAACAAGATTCTCTAGACTGGCAAACTCTGTGATAAATAGGCTTAATATAGATATTTTTAACATTAGTCTACATAGCTTTAAAAACAGAATCAAATCCATCTAGTCATAGTGCTTTTTATCTTGTTGAGAGAGTTTTATAGCTTTATATTTTATATCTATATTTATTTTTATTTCATTTTATTTAATACTAGCTGTAAGAAGTTACCACTATGTGTAAACGTTTTATAATAATTGTTAAAGTTTCAAATGGTTTTAAATGTTTTGAACGTGTTAAATGTTTTTCTCTAGATTCTATTTGGCAGGCTGCAAAGCAAAAAGTCAATGTTAGATATATTATGTCGCACATGCGGTTGAATCTTTGAATATAAAACTACAGGAAGGAGCATTTTCTATCTGTCACTACAGACAACACGGGGACGGAAACGGCCATATTGAGCCTCCAAATATGGACTCATCATTTGTTTTGGTGGTTCGCTGTGTCCTCATTCAAGTGGATGTTTAATGGATTTAGCTGTTTTAAGTGATAAAAGGCACTGGGATTAGTGCGAAAAGAGTGAGTCACAATATTGACAATCATATTTAAATAAATATGTGTCACTGCCAAACTGGAAATACTAGTCGGCCATATGCAACCTCTATATATTTTGGTCGCGCAGATTCGAAGTTATGCTCCTTCCTGTAGTTTTATATTCAAAGGGTTGAATTTATCTTTTGATAATGATATAACTACACTTTTTTTGTGAGAATTTATATATTATATTACTATTGTTTATTTATTTATTTATTTATTGTAAAATGGCATGTCCGTAAATAAAATTCTGTTCTATTCTATTCTATTCTATTCTATAGTTCTATAATTTTGAAGTAACTTCAAAATCAGCTGCTGCAACGTCGTAGTTACTTTACAGCGCTTCCATAAATTTAAAAAAAATGATACCTATACCAGTAACGGGAAAAAGTTACTCGAACTATCGAATATTACTTTAAAGTCTTTGTCACTTAAAAATATTTACAACAAATTATTTGAGGATCTAATCTCAGTTTCCGCTACTTTGATGCTACTAGTGTTAAAAAATTGTATAAATTCCTGTAGATTCGGGATTTTCTTTTCATTTCAAAGTTTTAAAATTGCTTTCACTAATGAAGAAGCATTTACTTGTGTTATATTTAGGTACTTTTTGTGGAAGCTTTGAAACAAGGAAACTAAAACAAAATAGGTTCATCTAAGTTTCCAAGTTGTTTCCTTGAGAAATTTAAAATTCTTGTTAGTTCTTTAGTAACACAAGCTCTAGCTCTTTTTGGAATCCTTTTTAAGAGGGATGTGCATTGTTTCATAATTAAAGCAGGCGCTACAAGTAGCTGAGTATCCAAAATGTGAGAACCGGCAAAAATGCTCAAATTCGTGTACCTGTGATCCTGGGTACCTGTGATGGGAAAGTACATCTTGCCGGCAGCTGGAGTGGTCCTTAACTCTCCTGCCATCCCCCAATGCAAAGTTATATGGAAAATATCATAATTTCAAGCCATTTCACAATATTTCCTATTGATTGTACCTAAGGTTTTTTTTTCAAGCACTCAAAATAAATTACCTACCACTTGTTGGATATCTCTGCAATTCTGCTCCAAAATATACACAAGTAAAAGAAGACTGCGACATGTACAGGGTCATCCAACGACGACTGAACAGGAGCTTATTTTTGACCTTCCCCGTTCCTGTAGTTTTGAAAAAATTCAAAATAGCCAATTGGCATATTTTTTTCTGGAGAATTCAAAAATGGTACCAAAAAATCATTTAAACTGAAAACCAAAGAGATACGCCATGGATGAACTATTTTTCAAATGGAACACCCTGTTTCGAGCCCTGTTTATTATATAATTTCTGGAAAAGTCGCATTTTTAATGTCTATTCATTTGAAAATATTTGATATTCCAATCCCTATTAATTTTAGCTTCACCTGTTCTATACATCTGTGATGGCGAAAAAATATGTCAAATTTCTTGTGACTTTGAACAAAAGGTGATTATAATATCTCTCAGTTATGAACCTATTAAATTGAAAAGGAAAAGTTAAAATTATTAAGCATAAAACATTTAAATAAAATAAAAACAGCGGAATATCGAATATTTTCAACAGAATAGACGTAAAAAATGCGAGTTTTCCAAAAATCATACAAAAACAGGGTGTTTCATTTGAAAAACAGTTTACCCATGGCATAACTCTTTGGTTTTTGGTTCAAATGATTTTTTTTGTACCATTTTTGAATTCTCCTGAAAAAAATATGTGGATTAGCTATTTTGAATGTTTTCAAAACTACAGGAACAGGGAAGATCAAAAATAAGCCCCTGTTATCGTTGGATAACCCTGTATTTCTTGCAGTCTTCTTTTACTTGTGTACTTATATTTTTGAGCAGAATTGCAAAGATATCCAACAAGTGATAGGTAATTTATTTTGAGTGCTTGAACTGAAAGCCTTAGGTACAATAAATAGGAATTATTGTAAAATGACTTGAAATTGTGATATTTTCCATATAACTGTGCATTGGGGGATGGCAGGAGAGTTACAGACCACTCCAGCTGCCGGCAAGATGTACTTTCCCATTCTTTAGGATCACAGAAATATGATTTTAAGCATTTTTGCCGGTCCTCACATTTTGCATACAGTCTAAACTAGTAGGTAACTAATTTATAGATATGTATCTGGAATTAAAATTTTCATTGGTCATATAATTTCAATTCTAATTTATGTTTATTTTTTTTGTTATTTGTTTAAACCTCTTTATCCTTTAATAAATAAACAAAACCAGAATTCTTGAATGATGAATTCCAGCATTGTTGTTGAAAGTTCAGTTATAAATTACATTAGGTACACAGTACATTTAGATACTCTTCTTTGTTTTCTTGTAACAGAACAGGACTGAAAGACTGAAATGAAAGATTTTCCGCTAAACACTAGTTGATAAACGTTTTTATGCAATAATCAGGGCCGTCTTAAGGCAAGGGCCCGCTGGGCCCGGGCCCAGGGCCTCGGGATTATTGGCGGCAGGCGGGTTGCTACCCGAGTGTATCTGGAAAAACTATATTTTTTAAATTTTGATCCACATCAATCATAAAATATACCTATATTAATTTCAGAAAGTCCAGGAAACATCCCCTTCAATAAAATATATTAAACTTTGCCCTTAGCTACAATTTTAATACAAAATCTCAATAGTCGGCGTCGGCACAATATCAAAGATAAAGAGGTGTTTTGTCTAGGCTCTGGACGTCGGCGTCGCATGAGAAATTGTCACTTTTTATATTTGTTTGATATCAGGCGCCGGAAACCGGTAAACCTGCAAATATGAAATAGGCTTAAGAAGGTATTTTATTTATTTATAACAGTTTGTATTAGGGCTGCTCAGCTAGCTGGACTGCTTTGATTTGATTTGGCTTACCGTTTACGTTTGCTCAATTTACATTAGAACCTAGTTTTGTTTGAAAAAAGGACAAATAGACACGGTGTTTTTGATTTTAAAAAAAAAGACATTTGTGAGTAATTTGTGCAAGGATTACATTTATTGTGCAAATAAACAAAAGTAGCAAAATTACATTGTATTAATAAGGTAGGTAATCAATAGGTTACATTGCATATTGAATTTTAATATTGGCTTAATTATTTTGGTGCAGGGAGAAGTGTTTATTTGCTCCCATTGACAGGCTTGGTCTCGTCCAGCTTTGTTACTTGTAAGTGGATAGTTTGGTCCAGGCGCTGCGCCCTAATCTTTTTGGTAAATATTACCTTTATAAAATAAATAATAAGATATCCAAAATATCTCCATTAATAATTTAGGACAATGAAGAAGCGTTTTGAAAGTGGATCTGCGAAACGCAAGAAGTATATGGAAAACAAGGAAAAAATTAATAAACTACCCAAACTCACCCAATTCTTCAATAAAGTAGTCGTTACAAGTTGCGCATCTACCAGTGCCAGTAAAAGTGATGATAGTATAAATATTGAAAATGATGAAACTGAAAATGATCATGAAGAAACGATTTCTTCCATCACCGAAGGGGCGGACGTTGAGGTTACACATGCCGAAGCTGATCAAGAGCAAAGTGCAATTAAAGCTAATGAATATATTGAAAGTACGGATTCAAGTCTATGGCCTGTATCTGACGACAACTTACACTCCTATTGGATTGATAAAGGTCCATCAGCTGGTGCCAACCGAGATTCCACTTTCCATAAATCAGCGCGTGTATACATAGAAGGAAGTTATACTAAAACAAGAAACCTATGTGCATCGTTGTTTAAAAGACAGTTACGTAACGGAGAGGTTGTAGATCGCGAATGGCCTATTTATTCTCCGTCAAAAAGAAAGGTTTACTGCTTTGTGTGGAAATTATTTCCATTCGTTTATTCTGCATTCACCAGCACTGGATTCAATGACTAGAAGCATGCAGGTATGGCTGCCTCGCAACATGAAAATTCTCCTGAACACAGGAACTGTATGATGATCTACCAGAGTCGCTTAAGGGTATCTGGTCGTATAGATACCCAATTAACGAGGCAATTTAACGATGAACGTCAATATTGGAAAGAAGTGCTGAGGCGAATAGTAGCTGTAATAAAGTTTTTAGCTTCAAGAGGACTTCCTTTTAGAGGAGAAAATGAAAATATAGGTTCAGTTAAAAATGGAAATTATTTAGGAACATTGGAATTGCTTAGTCAATTTGATCCATTTTTGGATCAGCATATAAAGAAATATGGTAATGCTGGAAAAGGTAACCCTTCTTATTTATCAGCTACAATTTGTGAGGAATTTATTGAATTGATGGGATCGAATGTATTGGCGACTATCGTCGCTGAAGTACATAAAGCCAAGCATTATTCTGTTTCTGTTGATTCTACGCCGGATGTGACACATGCCGATCAACTAACATTTATTTTACGATATGTCAAAAATGCTGTTCCCATTGAACGATTTTTACAATTTATCCATATTTATGGACATACAGCAGAGTATCTGGCAGATGTTGTCATTTCATTTTCAGAAAAAAATACAATTTGCTAGATGACTGTCGTGGTCAGTCATACGACAATGCTTCGAATGTGTCAGGTCAATATTCAGGACTGCAAACTCGACTTAAACAAAAAAAATAAATATGCTGAGTACGTACCATGCGCAGGACATTCTTTAAATTTAATTGGCGTCCAAGCGGTAGAATGCTACTTGAATGTCACAATTTACTTTGACTTTGTTCAAAACCTCTACAATTTCTTTTCCTCATCAACGCACCATTGGGAAATAATGAATTTAAACTTAAGTTCTGATCACAATGTACTGAAAACCTTATCAAAAACATGTTGGTCTGCACGTGAAGATGCAGTTACAGCCTTAAATTGTGGATACAAAGAAATCCAAATGAGCCTTGATACTTTAAGTAATGACAAATTGCAATCAGCAGATACACCTCTTACTCCAAAAAACATTAAACAGCAGGATGGATGACTTAGACACCACTTTCTTAACTATTTTTTGGAATGATATTTTGACTCGTATTAACAAAGTAAACTTGTTCATCCAAAAGAAAACCTAAATTTGTCTACAACTGTAAAACTTTTCAAATCATTAATGGCATATATAAGGAAAAAAGAGACAGTTTTGATTTTTATGAATCAAAAGCCAGAGAAAAATCTGTTATAAAGGAGTACCGCGATACTCAGAAACGAGTGAAACGACGAAGTGTCAAAGTAGCTTTCCTTGAAGGTAATAATAGACTGCCTAATCTCAAATATTGAAAAACGTGGTCAAAAATATGAAAAAATATTTGAAAGGTTTGGTTTTTTTGAAAAAATTTCTCACTTGACTGAAACTGAAATTTCAAGAGAAGCGGAAAAGCTGTCGTTGACTGTCGTGACATTAACGCCGATGAATTAATTTTGGAATGTGAGCATTTCAAATCCTATATCAACATCGATATTGATAAACTAAAAAAACAGGAGGTAGAAATGGGGTATAAAAATATAAATGAAAAGAAATCTAAATCTACTGATGATCAAGATAAGCTCATAAAATTTTTTTAAAGTATTGTGCAGAGTCAAACATGGGCTCCTGTAAATCTTGAATTTGACAAGTTTAAAGTTCGCATTTTTTAATAAATTGGGTATCATTGTGTTTGTGACAGTGTAAACTTTTTGTTTGTGAGGGTTTCATGAGTGGAAATCGAATCATTTCCTGGTAAATTCGATAAACATTTAAAAAATTCTATACCATCAAAATAAAATAACAAAAATAACAATAGACTTTTATCTCCAGGTACCTATTTTTTGCTAATGGGCTTATCTCTTTCCAACCTGCTCTTAACATAAACAAAACTACTAAACTTGAAATGCACTGTAGTCCGAGTGCACATGAATTTTTTGTTAATTTTTAAAGATTCAACTCGAAAATGTCGTCATTTAAATGTTGCAAAAATAAAGAATCAACTGTATTGTTTTGTGTCGTATGTAAAAAAGTATTTCATAGAAGCTGTTGGACAAGGTTAAACAAACAATCTACCATTGTAAGGGACAGTTTAGCAATATGTTCCCGAAACTGTATGGATGCAGCAGCTGAGGATGAGCCAGACACTTTTGACATATTGAAATCTGTTATTGAAGACTTGAAAACTGAAATAATAGACAAGGATAACTATATAGCACGAGTAAAACGAAGTTCAGTGTCATTAATGGAGGACGCTTCAAGAAGCGAAGAGAGTTTTTTGAAAGAGATTACAGAGAAAGATAAAAAAATTGATGAACTTAAAAATGGAATTGAACAACTAAAAATAAAAATAAAAGCACAAAAAAAACGAACGGACGAAGAGATTAACCTAAAACCACTTATTGAGGAATTAAAAGAAAAAAACAAAAATCTTATTAATCAGATAAATGACAATGAAAGATTTATTATAAAACTGAAAGGAGACTTATCAGATCTTGTAATTGTCAAGAATCAGATGAAGGACGCATTAGTAATACTTGAGGCAGATAATAGAATTTATGCGGAGAATGAAACAAAGTTGAAGAATGAATTGGGAAAGTAGAAAGAAGATCTACACAAGGACAGCAAGAATGAGAAAATGGAGAAGCAGAAGCAGCTAGAAAATAATGAGGATTTGAGTACAGAAAGAAGTGGAAAAATTAAAAATAGGGGAAGGTTACTTATTTTATGTGACGAATATGGTCGCCATCTGGACAGATCCTTTGGGGTAAAATGCAATAAATTGGTATGTCAAACAATAATTAAGCCAGGCGCATCTTTTGAAATGGTTACAAAAGACATTGTTGAATTAGTAAAAGATTTTACCTCGGATGACTATGTTTTGATAATGGCTGGTTCTAATGATGTTGATAGATTGCAATTTCCATCTTTTAGAGACATAAATAGAAAACTTAAATACTGCACTCACACTAACGTTGTTTTAACTTCAATTCCTTAGATGAATTATAGAAAAAATGGCCTTGATGAAAGGGTGCAAATGTTTAATAAAAAGCTTTATGAATATGCAGATCGATTGAACTTTTATAGTGAGGGAAAAACAATGTTTTGTGATCTCAATGATTGGAATGATTTCAGAAAAAGTAAGGTGAAAATTGCAAATGTTATAAGCAACACCGTGTTTGCTGTAAGTAAAAGGAACGCTAATCTTATTTATGTTAATACAGAAACTTTTGTTAATAATAGCGGAATTAACGAAAGTAGTCAAAATGCGATTACGGGGGCTGAGGTAAAAGATCAATTGTTAGTATCTACTGGCAGTTTTTTAGATCAAGTTTTCATAGAAATTCCAGAAACATAAACAAGCGTGATAAGATTTTTATATTGTACTTTAACTCATCTAGTTTAACGGCTCACTTTGATGAGATTTATCAGCTAGCTTTAAGTAGATCACCAGTAGTTATAGCATTGTCTGAAACTTGCCTAACAGAAAAAATTCTGGATGGGGAGGTTCATATTGATGGTTATAGCTTGGAGAGAGTAGATAGTAATAGTAGAAGTATAGGTGGGGCGATTTTATACATAAGAGATGATGTTAAAATTTTAAAATCACAACAGACATTTAAACATAAAAATTATTGGTTGGTTTACACATACATCTTTTACAATAAGAAAAAATATCTTTTGGTATCTCTGTACAGATCTCCAAGTTCATCTAAACGGGATTTTGAGCTTTTTTTTCAAGCATGGTGCGAAGAAAATTTGATTGATGAAAATTGTGTCATTATAGTTGTAGGCGACTTTAACATCGATTACAGAACGGATGAGTCAAAAGCTTTAAAAGAAATTCTTGTAGATATAGGTCTTAAAAATATTGTTTTTGCTACAACTCGCTCTGGTAGAGATAAAGACTCAATCATAGATTTGGTGCTAACGAACTCTGATAAGTTATTTAAAGCTAATGTTATTATTACCCCAAAAATTACTGATCATTACATGATTGAAATATTACACAATGTGAGTCCTAAAGTGGCTAAGACTGTTGATACTAGAGGTGGCAATATTGATTTTTTGAGTATCAACCAAATGTTGCGCAATTGTGAGTTCAGGGGGGGTTTATTTGAAACGTGCAATTCAAATACGTCTGACTAAGTCGCAATTTGTAAAGGTGAAATTCAAAAAAATGCACATGTGGCTTATTTGAAACTTTCGTCAACGTATTTTGCTAAATTCGTCGACTCAAGATTGCATTTGACATGCGTCACCCCTAGAGCTAGTGCATTTCCAAATTGCATGCGAAAGTTTCTTAAAAATTTCAGTTTAGTCGATAAAAAATTTTCTTGGCCTCATGGAATTCGCAAATAATGTTAATTTAAATGCTCTAGAAAGGGTCGAATTGTATAACAATAACCGCAAAGGCTTCAGAAATCCAAGAATAGATGCATGCATTAACAATGCTTAGGTAATGACGGGGAATTAAAAAAAAAACTTTCGACTTTCAAAAGAATGTTTCGAGATTCCTTCCATGAAAAGGAGTTCGAAAATTTCCCCGACAAAAGGGCCGGATTTTTGTTCAAATATTCGACCGAGTGTTCTTTTTGTTTTTTGGTAACAAATCCGGACCTTCTCTTATTGGCACTTGCCCCCGCACTTTCCAACCTTTTTGCGGTATTGCCTACACTTATAGAAAGAATGAAGAATGAACTAAGATTATCAACAAAAAAAACGAAAAACCTCCAACTAAACACGAAACTTTATGCACGGAAATAATCAAAAAAGTTGTTGACGGTAAACAATTTCAAATTTGACATTTCAATGCATCGTTCCGTTTGGTCATATGAAATTTTCTAACAATGTCATTGGTTAGAATCTTTTACTGGACACGTTGCCAAGTTGAGTAGTGCAAATTTAAAAAGTCACGAATTACAAAATGCACAAGATTTCAAATAAGCCGATCGTGAATTTTTAGAATTCGTCGACGCGCATATTTCGACCGACTGCGTCGCATGTGAAAGATTTGCACGGATTTCAAATAAACCCCCCCAGGTACTATCATTCTGACATAAATCATAAGTTTAGCAGTTTTGTGTCAACTGTTCTGGAAATTTTAAATTTAGTTGCTCCAATAAAAACCGTAAAATTTTTTCCTAAATATAAAAAATGGTGGAACAATAGGGTTGAGATGGCGATGCGAGAACGTGATTTTAGTTATAGGACTTATAAAAATAATAAAACAGATGAAAACTTAAATGAATATAAGCAAAAATAGTTATTTGTATACCAAGGCCGCGAAGTGCCTTTTAGCGTACGTAGAGAAAAGTTATCGCCGAGGCCGCTTGCGGCCGAGGCAAGATAATCTCGAGGACGCTAAAAAGTTTCGCGGTCATGGTATACACACTATTTTTTGTGCAACCATGAAAATTATGTGGAATTATAGAAAAAATGTACTCCTTTCAACAAACATGTGGAACTAATTACCAGTTTGATGTATAACCTGGTGGCTATGGTGGCACAGCGTTACCATGGATGTCATGGATGACATATTTTGCAAGTAAACAAATACACAAAAAATTTTGACGGTTCTCAAAAAATCGTGAAAATATCCGACAGCGATACAGATGTTTCACTCTCTTGCACTCCTCCAGAGCTAAAAAATATGGTTCAATCAGCTATTTCTGAGTTAATACCTGGAAAACTAAGCGGCAATATGAAAATTGTTACTGCGAGTTCAAAAAATTGGTGTGACAAACAAAACGTCAAAATGGTGTCTGAAAGCATATTGGCTAATTTAATGCCGAAATGGGAAGTTTTGAGAGTTCAATTCAAAAACACTGGATTATTAGTTGCTTCAGCTTCAGGAGTAAATATTAGTAATAATGCAAACTGTCATGTAAGTGTTAATATTTATCCTAAATAATTTATGTTGTTCTGAAGAATTTGGAAATAAAATTTACTTACTTATTGTTGTTGTCAAAGTGTCAAATTTTGATTTATAGTTTCGCGGTCGTCACCAAGGGCAACGGCCGCGAAATTGAATTTCGCGGACTGTGTGGCGGCCGCGAAAGCTCATTTTGCGGATGGTTTCACAAAAAGAAATTTTGCAGTTCAAGTGTTTAGAGAAGAGAAACGTAAGTTCTATGAAGAAAAAATATGTCAAAATAAAAATAATCCCACAGAAATGTGGAAAACTTTGGAAACTTTATTACCTTCAAAAAAAACAGTGGCTAAAATTGATGAGGTAGAAATAAATAATACCTTAATTAGTGATAAAGAGGAGTTACCTAATAAACTGAATATTTTTTTTGTTGATAGTATTAAAGATATACTTCGGGATATAGATAAGTCTGATTTTGGAGATTTTCCATTGGCTCACCATGACGATTTGGTTAATTTTTCAGATTCTAGTATGTTGGATTTTGAAGGGTTGAAAGATATTATTTTTGGAATGGCTAATAAATCAAGTCCAGATGATATTAACATCAATTTACTCAAAAATACTTTTGAGATTATAAAGAATCCACTTTTAAATTTAGTTAATTCTTCGCTAGAATTAGGTCAGGTTCCTGATATGTTAAAAGTTTCCACTATAATCCCGATCCCCAAAGTAATTAAATTAAAATCTGCCAATGAATTGCGTCCAATAAATTTGCTTTGCACTATTGACAAAATTTTGGAAAAAATGGTGTATATGCAACTTATTGAGTATATAGATCGGAATAAAATACTAAGTGATTTTCAATCAGGATTTCGAGTAAAATTTAGTTGCGAAACTGCTGTGCAGGGTATCTTGGAAGACTGGAGGCAAAATATTGACAAAAACTTAGCAACTGGTGCCATTTTTCTTGACTTACGAAGGGCATTTGAAACTGTAAACAGGACAAGGTTAATATTAAAGCTAAAAAGCATTGGTATTAGGGGAGTAGTTTTAAAATGGTTTGTGAGCTACTTGAGTGACCGTAAACAAAGACTAAAAGTCAATGACATATTATCAGAAGATATATCTAATGATTTTGGCGTCCCTCAGGGGAGCGTGCTGGGGCCTTTGCTATTTATTATATATATTAATGACATAATTAAAAACGTAAAAAATTGTACCACATATCTTTTTGCTGACGATGCCTTATTCTATTATTCCACAAAAGATCTGGGCCAACTTGAGACACCACTTAATCAAATATTGGATGATGTGTATCAGTGGTGTAATGTTAATGATTTGAAGGTCAATATTTCTAAAACAAAGTACATGATTATTGCAAGGGAATCCATTTACAAACAGCTATTGGCTATGGACTGCAAATTATTGTTGGGCAGCGACACTATTGAAATGGTAACAAAAATTAAATACTTAGGAATTTGGATTGACCATAAACTAGATTTTAAAAGTCATGCATTAGAAATAATTAAAAAAATCGCTTTTAAAGTAAATTATTTATCTCGCTGCTCTCCATACTTGTCTACTTGGACTAAAAAAACTATATTTAATGTATTAATACTTCCACATTTCCATTATTGTTCTAGTATTTTGTTTCTCTTCAGACAAAATGAGCTCTCAAGATTGCAGAAATTGCAAAACAGAAGTATGAGGGTGATACTCAAAAAACCAAGGTTAACACCAATAAAGGATATGTTAAAAGAACTTCAATGGCTGCCAGTGCGGGAGCTTCTTCTGTTTAACACCCTAACATTCATTCATAAAATAAAAATTGGTCAAGCTCCGCAATATTTGTTAGGCAAAATTATGTATGCTTCTGAAGTGCATCAATATCATACACGCCACAGAGAAAATTTTTATATCCCAAGGGTAGATCAGGAAAGGTCGCAAAACTCATTATATTTTAAGGGCTTGAGTAGGTATAATGATCTGCCAAATAATGTTAAGTCTATGAAAACAGTGAATTCTTTTAAAAAAGTTCTCAAAGATTATATGCTAAGTGATGTTAACTTATAAGTAAGTAGTATGTGTCACTTGTATTGTATCAGTGTACGTTTTTTTTGAAATAATTTTTTATCATTGTGTTATTGACTGTAGATTTTAAATTATTACATGAAAATTGTTTTTTAATTAAATTATAAATTAGCTTTAGTAGAATTTCAATTGATAACTGTAACTGTATAACTGTAAATTAGTCTTGACTAAATAAAGGATTTATATATATATATATATATATATATATATATATATATATATATATATATATATATATATATATATATATATATATATATATATATATATATAAGCTAATAGAAGATGGAGATGATAAGTCTATTGGAATCGGTACCCTTTATACATATATGTTTGAAGAAAATATTTTCACAGCATTTCCAAACATTGAAATTGCTATGAGAATTTTTTTATCCATGATGGTCTGCAATGCAAGCGGGGAACGTTCATTTTCTAAACTTAAAATAGTCAAAAGCGAAATTAGAAACCGCATGAGCCAGTCGCGATTAAATCTAGAAAACGACCTTTATAATTTGTGAGTAAATTATAATCTGTTATTTCTTTTCCACAATATACATTCTATTTCAGAAGTTTTTAATTTTTATTGTCCTATTCCCCAGAGCACCCCCCCACCCCTAGGTAAGGGGCCTCCTTTGACATATAGGCCCAGGGCCTCAACAAGTCTTAGCTGTCCCTGGCAATAATTGCAAATAGGGATTTGAATTTTAGTAGACAATAGACAATTATTGTTCCTTTGGTATCCTGTTTATTCGTGACATATTTTCAGTGATTCAAAGAATTCAAAAAATGTTTTATAATCTATAAAGAAATTATTCATTGGTTGTGAATGGAAAGTCAATCATTTTTTTTTGGAAATAATTTACTACGTTCTCATGGAGTTTTGAAATCGTTTTGAATACAGTTTTGGTATTGAAAACACCATGAAAACAGGTAAGTACTGAAATCGATTTCAGTCTCAAGGTCGTTTCACCTTTTTTTGGGATTGTATCGAGATTCAAATTCAGACACTTGCAATTCGATTTCAGTTCTAATTTCGCCTCGGCATGAAAACGGGGAAGAGAATTGGATTCAAAACGATTTGAAAACTCCATGAAAACGTAGTAATTAGCACACGAATTTTATTATAATTAACTAGCTGACCCGGCGAACTTCGTACCGCCTCTGAATTATTAAATATCTCTGAGTTAAATACCTATTAAATGTTGTGTTAACGTATGTGATAAATGAAGAACCGCTTGACCGATTTTGTGCAAACTTCACATAAACATTTGGTTTGGCTAGGTGAGCCCGTTCTTGAGTTATAAAATTACAACGAAAAGTGGCATTAATTTTTATATATATATAGACTTAGGTACGTACTCAGGTAGTAAGTACCGTACTACTAACATACCCATATACCACAAAGATAAAGGCAAAATGTATAAATAAGAAAATAGTTAGCTTACCTTAAAAACGACGAAAAACAATGCTAAGAAACTGCAAGCATTGTGCTAATAACGTCCGGATCGATGTCTGGTTTTTCTGCTTCTGCTGCTGGGAAAACTTTCAATAAATAAACAGGAAATAGACAAGCTGCTGGGCTTGCTTTTGCTTTCTTTTGATTTCACACCAAAATGTGAAACATGTATTGAACTAGTTTTCAAAGAAAAAAATTGCCAAGAATTAACGTGGAAAGCGGAAGTGAAATTGAAATAAAAGCGCCTTTGTGTGTGGTGGAAACTCAGAAACTGGTATGAAATGAAAGGAAAATATGGGAAAGTATGGTAGTGGAAAATGCGCGGGCGCGTTTCGAATTTAAAATGCCAAAAAACAGCTGATGTGTGAAAGATTCAAACCGATTCCAGCCAATGAAAATTGGTTTGTGGAATCTGTGGCAACGTTGTAATGTTGCTATCGTTGCTACTGCAAGGCTTTAGTTTAGAGAGAGAGGCTAAATACAAATAACGTTGGCCCGACAAAGATTGTGACTGAGATTTTAAAAGAAACAAATACAAGAAATGATAAATATAATACTCAAACAAGTAGTTTTTAATGTTCACACACAAAAATTATATTCAAATTTCATTGTGCCTACGTTTTATTCATTCAATTATTAGGCATTATTTGAAATTATGAATATGATATAAAACACAAAGTTTTACATGCGGTCCCATGGTGTAATGGTTAGCACTCTGGACTCTGAATCCAGCGATCCGAGTTCAAATCTCGGTGGGACCTGGAATCTCTTTTTTTTTATTTTTTTTTAATAGATGCATGAATTCAATTTATTGGTTGACTGTACAATACAAATACATAATTAGGTACTGCGTTCCCTACAAATGCTTCGCATAAAAATCTTTATGAATAGAAAATTAAATATGACCGACAGACATCTTTTTCATTTTCATGATAATATGTAATGTACCTACCTACTCACACGTGATTTAAGGGTCTATTAACATATTAAATTTCTTGGGTTGCAGGGGATGAAAGTAAGTGTTTTAGACGTTTTTGTGAAAATACAAAAAAGACATTGTTTTTCACTTAGCACTAGCGCGAAGACCGTTCATCATAAAATCAAAGATGACTAGTGCATGTTGTAGGAAATTTTATTTTTTTAAAATTTGTTAATAACGCTCATCTTTAAAAAACCTATAGTTTTTGAGATATAGGCGAAAAACTGAAAAAAGTGCTGAAAAATTCAGATTTTGTGCGTTTTTGGCTAATAAAGCGATGACTTACGCCCACAGATGAACGGTTTTGAAATCACCATGTGAGGTAGTAGTAGTACCGACTACCGACAAGTCATTTTAAAGCTTTGGTATCTCACTGCCAGCTCAGCACTCGAACTATATTATACAAAAGATCAATACATTGCGTGAAAACCACAACAACCCAATAACAAAAGACACTTTCACCTAATAGTTTCGAATATGTACAAGTCAAAAATAGTTTAAAAAAATATTTACTTAGATCTAAAACACCTAGACAGAATTGTGAAGGAAGTATTTTGTAAATAGTTCGAATGACCCGTTTTTGAACAGTAAAAATGTCTTGGGCTCTAGAGTGTGCTGCCCAGTAGATTATGCCATAGGTACCTATCTGTTCCCTCAAAGTTTGCAAAATACAGAGCCTTTTTGCAGGTTCATCCAAATACTTTGCCAGAGTATGGATGATACAGTACCTAACAAACGCTGTTCAGTTTACTATTCAAATATTCAACATGGCTAGGCTAGTCCAGAAATTCATCTAAATATATAACATATAAATACCAAAATACCCAGAAATTTAGTGCTATTTTTAACTTGGAGATTAGTTTTACCAACTGTGATTGATTCGGGTTTTTTAGTCATGTTTAGTTTTGTTCTGAATAGTACAATTATATGGCCATCTCCAATGATTTAGGATAATTGTAATAACAATTAGTCATAGGCTAGCTCATCAGCATTTAATATTTTATATAAATACGAGCAAGGCAATAATAGGTCTGTTTCTGCAGAAATCACAAACCTGTCGAAGCGAATTTCATTAGTTGAAAACAGTCAGAAAAAATCAGAAAACTAATAGTATCAACCAATGAAATTCACTCTGACTGGTTTATGATTTCTGCAGAAACAGACCTAAGTAAGTTAGTTTTTTAGTTCGCTTCACTGGGTTCACACGTTATTGATTGAGTAATAAATTAATAAAGTTTTTTTTAAAACACAAGTTGCTTGATTTAAAACATAACTGGCGCAGTCGGTAGGATTCCTTTCGGGTATAACAGGATTCCTTTCGAATATTTTTCAGGTTTTCGAAAAGTTGAATTGGAATACGCGAGTGTGCCTCTCTATCTTACGGCCAGTTCCATAAATATGATGTTAGGTCGGCTTTAAAAAAAGAACACTTTTCGTTAAAGCATACTTTATGCAGCCCTTAAAGTCAGTTGTGTTTGTTAGATACCTAGCCTAGAATTTCCTTTTATTATTTGCTTTTTACTAATACCTTATTGGATAATTTAACTTTGTTACAATTTATATAAAACTTAATTAGCTCGTAAGTATATTCCTCAGTTGATACATTTTATTTGTCAAACAAATCTTAAGTGGAGTAGACATAAACATAATTTAATATCCTAAACACAGACACTTTTAATAGCATCACTTCTAATCGAACATGGCAAGACTTTTTATTCTCGGCCAAGTATACACTTGAACGCAAAGAGCGTCTTCTTTCTCAGATTTCCAGATAGCTAAAATCAGTTCAACTCGAGCCTCAGTTTCGAATAGGTTAACCGAAACCTGCTCTATACTTCTAATAATTTTAAGACTTTAAATAAAATAGTTAAAAACTTTCGGTGTGTTAAATTGTTTTCGCTGCTCATCCATCCATCCTGACAATATTTTCGTGCAGGGAAGCACGTAGAAAATACATCCCTGTGGCATTATTCTTGACTTTACGTAGGTAGAAAATTTGACATTGTTAACAGTTAATGCACTGTTTAATTGTCAACACAGTCAAATTTTCTCTCGAGAGAAAGTCAAGAATAAGGCCTCTGGTGTCGTTTTTGAGTAACACAACATGTTCCATGAAACATTTCAAATCGTCTGTTACAAAAAGGAGTATCAGTTTTCTCGATTTGGCAACACTGAAATTAAAGAGCTGAAGTTGGTTTTGACGCGTGTTGACAAAAATTTTAGCCATTTCAAAAATGATTGAAATAAGTGCAGAGAACAAAATGGAAGAAAGAAAAGTGACCCTTTGTCAAAGGAGGATTAAATTCATTTATTGGAAGCTATTTATGAAGAGCGCAAACTTGAAATTATTGAAAATAAAGAATCAAATAAATTACCAAATGCAGACAAGGTTCGTAGTTTCAATTTGGTTTTATCCTATGCATGAAATCTAAAGAGAAGTCTCGAAAACGCTTTAGCTTACAGTGTTAGTGGAACGGTTGTAAGAAATGTAGATCAATGGAAGCAGAAAGACAATTTTAAAAAAAGGAAGCTTGTATGGGCTTTTTCATCTAGTAGGGCTCCAACAGTCAGCTTTGTTAACCTAAACCGGTCAAAGAATTCTATGTCGTCATTTTTTTCAAAACAATCCACTCTCATCCTGTATCGCTTAATTAATTTTACCTATATCCTCTTCATCTGAATGGGTCGAAATCTGCCATTTAGATTCTGACATGAAATAACCAACACACAGAACCTGTAATTTGGCACCTAATGGGTTAAATTGCCCTATAAAGTACTCTTTTCAACGCTTAATTGGCCAAGCTCGGCACTTTAAGGTAAACGTCACTTTTTCGTAATGGCTCCTTCAAAAACTGTTTATGGAACAGATTTTAGAAGTTAAAGGTGCTTTTTAAGAATAAAGTAAGCTTTTTCGTGATTATGGAACTGGCCGTTAACAGTTAAGAAACCTCCTAACTTTACGTTTCAGGAATTAACTCATATATGTATATGAGAATACTTATGAAGACAACACTGGATTTGATTATTCAGATAAGCAAATATAGGGTTATCCAAGTTCACCTTGATAAAATAAATTTAAAAAAAAGACACTAAATATTGAGATTGCGATAAAGTTTCAATGCTATTATAAAGTGTGCGGTTATTGCCATTATGTGTGAATTATAATATCCTCCAGGGGACCTCCTGCAAGACTCAATCCTGTTGAGGTAATTTTGGCAACTTTTTGGCACATTTCAGGCATATCCCGGTCATAACTTGACGACTATTGTCTTTCAACGAGTCAATCATTAGAAGGTTGTTTGCATAAATATTATCTTTCACATATCCTCACGAGAAGAAGTCCAACGGTATTAGATCACAGGACCGTGTTGGTCAATTCACATCAGCCAATCTCAAAATTACTCGTCCTGGAAACTTTTCTCTCAACAAAGCCCGATTATCTCGTGTTGTGTGACTTGTGGTTCCGCCTGCGGTGGTAAAATGATCCATATTCTAAAATGGCAACCATTCAACTAAATAACTAGGTACATACCTGTTTTGTTAACATGTGTCCTTGACCGCTATCAAATGTCACGCGTGTACTTTCTCAAGCAAAAAATGGATAACCCTATATTTGAATATGACGAAAATGTCCAATCTTCAACTACTGTTGAAACTCTAGCTGAACAATTGGAAAATTTTCAATTAGGTACAAGCTTCAGATTACACAAAAAATCATGCATAAGTTTAAATAGATTTCAATTCAATCAATTACCATATATATCAATATTCCTAATTCTAAGTATAATATTCGACTACTTATAGATACAGGATCTCATGCGTCGTTACTCAGACCTTCATTAGCCGAAACTCTATTTCGAGAATAAATTGTACGCTATAAAACTACTTTACAAACTTGTGCAGGAAACAAAAAGACCACAAGTAACGCAGACATTCCATTACTATTACCTTATGGCATATCTGAAACCTTGGAGTTGATTCTTTAACCATTTCATGAGTATTTTGATGGCATATTAGGTATAAAACATCTTCGTAAATTAAATTTAAATAGGTATTGATTTAAAAAATAAACTATTAGTAAATGAATATTTACGAATTCCTTTTCAATACAGGAAAAATTTGAATCAATACATAGTTGAAATACCTCCTAAAACTATACAAATAGGTAATAGGTTACTTTTAAAACTAAGTTACCAAATAAAACAACTTGGCTATAACCTTATGTACATGACGAGTTTATTGAAATACAACCAACATTAGTGACAATTGTTGACA